GACTTAGTTGAAGCTTCAGGTGTCGTCGCTTGAGCTTCAACCGGCTCTGGTAATGGTTGGCTTAGTACGGTCTTCTCACCGCCCTTTGCATCAGGCTTGGCAAGCTTTCCAGAGATCAAAACCGTTTAGTTTATCGTAGTGGTAAGGATGAACTCGACGATATGAAACAGTGCTTGTTGGGGGCTGTTCAGCTGGAGGATGGCTGCTTTTATTGAAATGGGACGAGTCGGCCATTATGATCGACGATTCAGCGATTCCTGGTGGTAGCAGTTACGTAGCTGGAGCCTGGCATATCGCAGTTCTGACCATTGTCAGAGGGCCAAAGACGCTTTGGTACTTTGGTCATCACGTGCTGAGGAAAAACTATCGTGTCCAAAAGTAAATGCATGAAGGGCAAATACTGATTTTGGAGGTGGAAGTTTGGCGCGGGTCTATGCTAAAGGATACGGAGAATGATCACAGCTCCGAACCGTGAGAATCGAAATGAGACATGTATAGAACGCGTTCTACCTAATGTTCAAATGACTTCAAAACCCCTTACTGATCAAATTTCAAGTATCTCCAAGTAAGTAATGTTGACGTAGAACATCTTATATGATTTGAGACAATTAAATGGCTATTTCTAGATTCAAACTCCAATGTCGGCGCCAACTTTCACTGATCTTCCCCAAAATTCCAGCTAAAGCGCTATTTTTCAGCTGCGACCTCTCCCAATCGTAAAAGGTATAATAAAATTACCAAAAAAGGCGTTCCGACACGGGGAATCGAACCCCGACCCGCGCTGCTCTTACGTAAGCAATTATGCTATGAAAGAGCGCTATCCTAGCCATTAGACCATATCGGATTGTTGAAACCAAGGAAAGTTTACCCGTTATGGCAAAATAACAAAGTCAAACATCTACTTTCTACTTTGCCACGATACTAGCAGTCCCTTGTGATGAAATTTTATCGCTATCAGGTCTTTCAACGTGCTTTTCCTGACTCAGAGGTGCGAATGATTTTTTTCCCTATTTTGTTTTAAATTTACTTGGTGTTGACCATCACAAGATTGAAAGAGCAGTATCGGATTGGTCAAGCGAGTCTCTTGAGTGTATGTTAGTACCTCACAAGATGGGCACGATCCCACTATCTTGTAACGGAATAGGGCGCGTGATATAGCCAATGTTGTTATGGGCATGGTCGAATGGCATGGTAGTACAGGAATTCTGTCACCCACTCAGCAGCATGTTTCAGGCCGTTTCGACGTTGCGGCTTCAAAAGGTATTTTCATCCATTTCACACAGCCTAAAGGCCACTAAAATTATGAATCTCCTTTGGGATATCTATACTATCCAGGGGTTCTGATACGTGGGATTTGCGGAGCATATTCATGTAATCAATCGGAGGTAGAATTCCAAAACAAGGCCCGTGCATATATCAACGTTCAGGTTGTCCTCATTTTCTTGTCAAGGCAGATTCGATACTAATACAAGATCTTTTGTGAAGCAGTTCAACGCACCTCGAGATTTTGCTTGCCAGGAGGATTCCTATGGTATTGAATGGGGCGGACCATCTCAAGGTTGCACAACTGTTTCACAGATGACAGCTTTGGACGTCCTCGTAGCCGGAATTACAGCGAATCCATAAATCAGGGTAATACTAAGAGAGTGTAAGATGTAACTTTGCTATGCATGCGTCGTCTCCCCTGAATACAATTCTTTGTGACTCGGACTGGTTCATGATGGCTGTGGACGATCATTCTGGATGATCAGCCGAGCAAGCATGGTAAGACACAATCGGAAGTTATATTCCAGTTACTTTCTAATGATGACAACTGATAAGCTTTGCTGCAAACCCGTATGATAGAATCTGTAATGAGGGGCACATGATCAAGGGTCGAGTGAAGTGGCCATGGGATAGCTGTTTGAGTGAGCATTCCCAATATTAGCGGCAAAAAGTCCTTGACAAAAAGTTAGACTCGACGTTTGCAAGAAATGGGCGGATGCTTACCGAAATCGGTGTGTAGATCGAAGGTGCTAGCTGGATTGCTTGGATTATTTACGGCGACGGTCGATAAACTGACGGATATACGTTAGGTGGGAATGATGATCATGAAGTTTTCTATGAACTCACGCCCAACCAAAAACTGAGGGATTATCCTGTACTATAGCACCGCTCCAGCCCTGAAATGTCCAAGAAGTACAGCCTTGACAGCGGAATCTCCATTTCCACTGAGTAGACGTGATAGAGAAACTAATGGTGGTAATTACAGGACGAGTAACCACATGGGGAGGAGCGTCGTTGCTGTAAACGGGTCAATCAGAGAGTCCCAAGGACCAGCTTAGTCAAGCTCACGAAGTTACACGGGGTGAGAATATGATTTGATTGTTCCAAGGCCAGGCAACGATGAGCAAGTTGTTATTCATACCACCACCTAAAGAGACCTAGAGGGATTACATTAGATAACGGTGTTCTGAGCGAGCCGAGATACTTGCCCCAAACCATTTAGCGGAGATTGGTACAGTCCACTGGCCAATGAATTCCGTAGCAGAATTGCAGGGTGGAAATAGAAATCCGACATTGGCTCCCCATACTAACAATAATACGGATGAGCAGCACATCTACGGAAGGAATAGAGTCTATCTGACCTGGGTCTACATGATTTTCGAAACAGAGATCGCTTTCACAGTATTGAGAGCTTTGAGCCAATGTTCCGACGGTCAACGCCAGAATTGCCCAGAGAGACTTCCAGGATGACATCTGCGCAGAGTCGAAGGGATAGATAAAGGAGGGGATAGTATGTCCTGAGGCGTCACCGAGACAATTACCCCCACTAAAAGCACCTCTGGCTATCATTCGGAGCGACATGGCCCGGTGATTCTGCCTCCCCAAGGAGAAGAACAAGAGCTCTGTTGACAAACCTGAAACTCATGTCATGGAGGTGACTGCGTCGGAACGCCGGATACGATCTGCCGGGCACACGATCAAGTATGAACCAGTATTATAGACAGCAGGTAATCTTCTACATGTGAGAATGGTCAACAGAAACTCGCGAATAGGGAGAACTTCGTAGTATTCATACGCGAGAACCAACCGAAGTTAATTTACGAGTCGATGACTGATCTGGGATGAGATTGTACGAAGCGACTACACAAACTGACCATGGGAAACTAGAATGATCATGCACCCGGGGCTTTTGTTCAGAACCTGTAGTTTGTTTGCAGTTAGTTTGCATTCGCTCATTCACCGGGGCACACGAACCGTACACATTTGGCTTTCTGGATGTCTTTGTAGCTTCGACTACCTTATACCTCAGTGGTCCATCTCAGTGAAATACCTCTACTCAAGTCGCCACTCCAGTTCGAAGCTTGAAACTTGAAAGAGCGCTGCTATCCTGGCCATTAGACCATATCGGATTGTTGAAATCAAGTAAAGTTTACCCATTATGGCAAAAGAACAAAGTCAAACATCTACTTTCTACTTTTCCACGATACTCGCTGTCCCCTTCTGAAGTTGTGAAGAAATTAGGTCACTTTCGACTTTCAATGTGCTTTCCTGACTCAGAGGTGCAGGTAATTTTCTTTTCCCTATTTTGTTTTAAATTTACTTGGTGAAAGTCAGTCTCTTGAGTGTATGTTAGTAGCCCACAAGATGGGCAGGAGTCAAAAAATCACTTGCAATTCCATCGTGGTGCGTTCAAACTGTGAATAGTACGTAATGATATCGTATCATCTTAGTTTGCCGCCACATTCGGGACATTGGGCTATTAGGTATGACCGTTTCAATGTTCAGACATGAGATATGCAGCTCTAATTCATGACTCTAGTGTCCGGACATATGACTAGTTATAGGAACCAGATTGAAGTCGGTGAGCTCACAGCTGTGTTACGAGCGAGCTCCTGTAATCCGGCGCCTCCATTTATGCGCCTGTAGACCACAATTCCTCCTCCATCCTTACCAGCAGCAACCAGGTACTCTCCATTCGGACCTCCGATAGCGGCACCACGGATGTGCTTCAACTTTGTCCTGACTTGTGCAACCAACTGCAGCGATGGTTTAACCTTGAAGATGGCGATGGTATCACCATTTGGATCTGGGTCATTGCGGTTTGTGGC